TAGTTACATTATACATGGCATGTTTAATAGGGATTTTAGTATTCCTGAGCAGCAACTCGGACTGAAAATGATTTTTGGAGAACAGGTTAAGAATGTTTAATATTCGTCAACTGTTTCAGTGGATATATAGATGTAATGGTTATGAGAGATTGATGAAAGATTTTAATATTCTCAACTGGTTTCACTGGAATTTGGTTTATGGAATATGATATAGACTGTTGCTACAGTTTATATGCCATACCTTGAAAGCCACCCATATTTCAAACACATATAAGAGCAAGTAAGAAAAGAAGCAGAGGATTGCACATGGTAAGACTGTGTTTTATTCATATTGACCAGTATTAAGTAGTTCTATTAAAACTCTTTGATATTTTCATATCAGGCCAGGAACAAGGATGACAGAAATATTTTCTCCAGAAGGTTATGAATTATGGTCCTTTTAATGTGATTCATTATAGGTTTTGTGCATTCAAAGAAATATTGAATCTTAGTTTTAACTAAAAAGATAAAAGATACAGACATGTTTTATCTTGCTTTGATCCATTGCCCTTATGTCAAAGAGATGAGGTTGTCTGATGACAGCCAGTCTGGTTATGTCACCAATCAATACTCAGAAACACAGGGTGATATGTCATGTGCATTATGCAGAAATACCTCAGGCATAGCTAGGGTTTTATACCAACCAAATCTAGATAATCAGCAGTGCCAAAACAAACAGCCTACTGTCTTCTTAAGGTTCTGTGAAACTCGGGATGATTTCCATACATCGCATCAACACTGCCAAAACAAATACTGGTAGGCTTCTGTCACCTTTCAGTAACGTGATACATGGGGTGTATTTTCTCTGTGAATTAAACATTCATGCCACATCAATACTGCCAAAACAAATACTGGGCTACTGTCACCTTTCAGTACTATTAGACATGGGGTGCATTCTTTATTAAACATGAACACCATGAACCAGTATGACAAATATCATGCCAGTATGGCTTTACAAGAAGATATATGGCCGCTGTCAACTTATAACCCTATGGGACCCAGGGTGCATTCTCTGTATGTGTATTAAACATACACACCACAAACATGTACCTATGGTTTCTACACACATTTATATCAAAGCACATCAGCAAGTCACCACTGCCAAAACAAATAGATCAAGGCTTTAAAAAATTTAACCTTTTGCCCTTAGTATACTCCAGGGAGCCTAGGGGTGATATATGATGCTGAGCAGATCCTGGCCTCTCTACTCCTCTGCCATCCCCTAATGAGGTTTGAAAATACAAATAATATAATATGCTCCTATTGTTTGATGATAGACCATCCCTGGCAGGGACAGGCAAGCACCAGCTAGACTGCCTGGCTAAATATCCCTACCTTAATATGTTGTGGAGAATGTAAAGTATGGAGGAGTGGGGAGAGAGATCTAGTGCTGGACAGTGTCTGCGAGTGCATATGCAAGTGGTTGTATGTGTGTGTGTTTGTGTATGTATGCGTGTACACACATATACACAGTACACATACATGGTAAAAAATAAGTGTATTCTTGTTTGGGTATATGTGTGAAAGCCCATATCAATGCTTGATAGCGTGTGTGTGTGTGTGTGTGTGTGTGTGTGTGTGTGTGTGTGAGTGAGTCAGTGAACGTTTATGAGTATTTATGTGTGTTTTTGTGTGGCAGGTAAAAAAAAAATCATTAACCAGGGGCAGTGAGAATCTACCTAGGCAAGTACCATTATTAAGTCTTGATAAATGAGCTGAAGTAATAAACTCCCTTTGTATGATAAATAGCCAGGGAAAGGAACTTAATCTCTGTGTACCATCTTGTGTGTATCATGACCTCTTCTTTACACTTCTGAGGGCATTTGGTCTCACTTCTGAGGGTACTTGGTCTCCCTTTTGAGGGCATTCAGTGTTGTATGTGTATATACAGACCTGTGGATCGCAAAACTAATAGCCCTGTGGTCTTCTGTTTCAGTAGGATGTAATATTAGAACTTATACTGGTTAAAATGTCTGGGTTTTTGGTGACAGTTGCCTGTATAATGTCCACAATTAACTTACTGGTAGTCTCTGAGAGAGAGAGAGAGAGAGAGCAGTTATGTCAATAGGTCTGTCTTCTATTGTCTGGGAGGTCAGTGGTTATGTGACATAAACTGATTGAAGTGTCACCGGATAGGTAACGAGGTTGTCAAAGTATAGGGTTGGTGTCGGCTGTAATGAGCTCATGGCTTGAGGACAGTACTCAGTGAGGACAGTCAAGCAGTGTCTTTGGGGACAGGTTAGATTTGAAGACAATAAATCAGTGCCATATTAGATATTATTGTTCTGTACTGTAGTAGGTGTTATGCTAAAGCAGATTGTTTGTAAATGAAATGAATAACCCAAGTACTAGTAGTGTATTTCACGGGGCCGTAGCGATAGTCCGAAGGTTCAATAGTCCGAAGGTTCATTGGTCCGAATGTTCACTATAGAACCTTCGGACCAATGAACCCTTGATTAAAAAATCGATGAAAATGTTACCACTTTTCGGACCAATGAACCTTTGGACCAATGAACCTTCGGACTATCGAGACGCCCCCTATTTCACTTTCCACTTGGGATAATTTCTTGGAATTTTTTAAACAACTGCTGCATGACATAAAATTTCATGACTATAATTACACCAGCAACAGTTTGTTAACATCTCGGTGACATGACTAACAGTAAGTTCTATTTTAAAACGTGCATTTGATAAATTAAGAAAAGGGAAAACGGTTTTAACCTGATAACAGACCAAGAAAGTAAAGGATATCATATGATTTAGATTAAAATGTTCTTAATATACACATTAGTGCACTGATAAGGAATAAAAAAAAGTTAAACATTGATAAAATTACTCTAATCTGTATGAAGTCTATAGGAGAAAGTGACAAATAGACGGAAATGGACATAATACTGTGTAAACAAAAGAGAGGAATGAAAGAGATTTTTTTTATTTTTTTGTTATCTTAGGCATATTAGGTATTCATTAAGGAAAAGTGTTAGGTGTATTATTGTTTTAACTGTTGTTGAGTAAGATGGTTGAAATAAGGGTTAAGAACTGGACCTTTTTGTTTGCCTTTAGGATGTGCATGGGTGCATGCATTAGATCAATAGTGCACCAGTATTTTATACCATGTATATGTGGGTTTGATACGTTATCTGTAGATTATTGAAACAACAATTACCATAATCTGTGGCATTCGTTTGCAGCTTTCACAAACAGAGAGTTGAGTTGTGTGGTGATCGACCTTATTCAGGACAAGTTTTTTCAGCCAATGAGAAGATAAACTTTAGTTTGACAATGTTTGTAAACATATGCATATAGGTGCATAAAATTTTGTGTGAGTAGACAGACTCTTATTGCCAAGTTTTCATAATTATCATTTTTTCCTTTTATTATATCCAATTTCAGCAAAATTGAGAGTCAGTTACAGTATAGTTATTTTGTGGAGCCTTCTTTATTTATTATATATTTTAAAAGAGTAGATCAAGCAAAATGGAAAGATAATATTTGTCAGATATTGATATCAGATTTAATTTCCAGCATGCCATATGAAGCAGTGTGTATAGTCATTCAGGGCGCAAGGAGTTGCTAATAATATTTTTGTACTAATTAGAAACTGTTGAATCTGATAAAACAAAGATTATTAAATTTCTCTTCCTCTATCATTATTAAAAAAAAGATATAAATTGTTGACAGTTTGTAGCTGAGTCCAGTGTGTCCACCATTACTGCAATTAAATTTGATCTGGCAAGGCTTAACGACCTGTCAAACTAACCCCTCCCCCTTCTAACATTCCTGACAACTTTTGACCCATCCTAGGTAGACTGCCGTCTGCTGCAGTTACTGCTTAATGTTAACCAAACAGTGTATAACTGAACAACACATTCTTGGCCTGGATGAGTAAAGCAGTGTGCAAAGTCTTTGCTGATTCAGAACAAAGTTAACTGGTTTGTTTAATTCTTCTGTGGACATGTAGGGGTAAGGGTGTTATGGTTTTGAAAGAGGAGGACATCAGTTTCGGGAACCAACTTGTTGTTAGAGGGGGGAAAAGGCTTTTTGGAGAACTTTTCTTGAAAGTTTGGAGAAAATGGGACAAGGTAAGGTCGCTGGTTATGGAATGTTTTGTTTTTTCTGCAGCTATGTCTTTAACGGTAGTTGTCTTATAAAAATGGAATAAAATGTTCATGGACTTAATGTTATCAAGGTCCAGCAAATGTTGAGCATAGGATTGTTTAAGGAAAGAGCCTTGATCTGTATTTTGAACTAAGAGAGTAGGGTGTTACTTGCCTGTGTAGACCTGTGTGTTTCTGTAAGACTTTTTCTTTGTGACTGTGCCAAGTTGCAGCCATCTGCATTTTATCTGAATACTGAAAGGTAGGAGTAAGTATTCAGCAATGACGTGGAACAGTCATTAGATCACACGCACATGCATTAATTTTCACACATGCAGGTACATTTTGTACATGTAGACAAATTCACTATGCAAAAATTCCACTATTTATCTTTTTGCACAGAAAAAAAAGACCAAACATAAAAGCATAACAAGATATATTCAGTAGTTTAAAAGGGTTTAATCTTGTAATCAGTTATCTGATCAAATAATTATATGTGAACCTCTTGCTGTTCATAATAAGTGCTCTAGAAACCAGGAACCTTTGACATGCAGTTAAGATTATCATTAAATTAGAATAGCATTGATGAACTTTAACTTTCTAGTATGTTATGTCTAGCCCGTATAGCATTCTATTCCAAAAAGTGTTATTATTATTATTAGACTCCTAGAAAATAAAAAGATACTTTGAAAACCTTACAAATACTTTGAATCAGGAATCCTTAAATTTTCATTCATTGATTTAAAATATTCAGAGCCCAGCAACAGAGAGTTACATCATATTTGTAACAGCTGTGTGTTGGCACTATGACCTTGTAGTTGTCTGTTTTCTCTGTAGCAGAGTGAGAGGAATCTTAACACTGTTATTGGTGAAAGTCGTGTTAGTGGCTTGGTAGATACTTTACACTGGAACGGCAGGTGTTTGAAGACAGGTGAATGCCATCAAGTATCCAGTAGTTACCTGTACTCTCTCTGGAAGGGTTCAAGGAAGGCTAGAGAAGGAGCAGCATGCTTCAGATCAAGTGAAAGCTGTACCCTCTCTGGCACTGGCAGGGTCTTAGTAAAAGTATATTATGTTGGCAGTATCCTCAAATTTTGACAATATTTGCCTACGTAGTTATAAAAATGATTTATGGAAATTCCTTTGAGAAAAAGTGGATCCCTGTGTCCCAGTCTTGGCAGGAAGATTGACTTCCATAGGATTGGGAGGAGCTCAGATGTAAGATGGATTGAAGAAAACTGCTACTTCACAAACTGCTCCCTGTTATGGAAATGAGTTTGGTGGCTTGCAGTTGGCTTAATGAGCAGGGTATTGTCATTTGCTTTGACTGTTATTTTATCCCTGATATTGAGGAGCATAATTTTCTAGATTTTTGTTGCTTACCAACTGCCAACATAATCACAACAGAAAGGCCTCAGAGTTCATGGTTTGAATCTCAAAATAGTTAATTAAGGTCTTAAGAAATTTCATACAAAAGTATTTTGTCAAGGCAATTTGAGCCTTACTCCAAGAGACATGGAAGGCACTCTGTCAATTGCGTTAGCTGTGATGATGTAGAATGCTGTCTCAACTGTCACAATCCTATTTACTGTTAACCAATTCAAGGTATTCAAAATGTGGATATGATAAAGATAGACAAATATATCTGTATATCTTTATTTGAAAGACAATTTCTGCTTACCAGAGAAATTAACCCATGGTTAGATTTTTTTATCATATCTGAACATAAAAATGTGAACTATTATTTTCAACAGGTAAAATGAGTAGACAGGAACTCGCTCACCTGAAAACAAAAATGGCAAGATTGCCAAAAGATGACTTCGTAAAGGTTGTCAGAGATTTACAAAGTTGATAAGATTAGATTATGTGGGTATATTTTTAGAAATTCTGAGGTATTTTTGACATGATCATTTGTCTAAAATAACTTTTTAACTTGTAAATAACTTAGCAGCAGGTAAATGAAATGAAGAGGAAATAGTTGTGGCAGAATCTAGCTTCATTTCAGGAACCATCCTTTCAAAAGAATTGCTACACTTAACTCATTTTTCACATGGAATATATACAAAATATCTTCTTGAATCTGAAGCCACCTATTGTTTTTTTATGTTTGACAGTTGATTAATGACATTATGTAATAAGTTTATAAGCATGATGACGATATTGAGCAATACTTAAAGTAAATGCAATCAAATTCCACTCTCCTTTAAAAAATGGATCATATACAGTCATATAAACTAAAGTATTAACCGTTTCGTCCATCCAGCCAAAATATTATGATAAATCAGTCCAGATCAACTGTGCTTTATGAGACAGCCATGTTTTGGGCCCACTGGGGTCTTCATCTAATGTAGTCACTGGATGAGTCAAGTTAGACTCAATTTTCTTTTTAGACAATCTTACCTGAAGATGCCAGTGGGTTATGTGTTTGAATGCAGTCATAAATTCTGTGCTTGGACACTCCTGCTGTGGTTGCATTATGACTGAAATGTATTACACAACCTTATCACTACTTCAGCACATGGACTCGAGCTATTTTAAGCTCTTTTTTTTTCAGTTTGGCTGTCCTCCAGTATGGGCTAAAAATATATAGGATGGAGAGGTTCCATAACTGAACCATAGCTCTCTGTTTTGAACCCTGCTGTTTTATTGCATTTTTGTTGAGTTTAGTTTGAAATTTTGGCAAATGGGGGAAGGGGGAGAACAAGACTATTCACCTACATACCTCATAGCCTTCTTTCACTTTTAGACACTTTGACTATGTGAATGTTTTTTAACATCTGTAATTGCTTCATTTCTTACTTCCTAAACCTGTTAAATTCTAGACCCAGACATAATTTTTCACTATTTATACACACACAAGTTAAAAAACCGCCAAATCATGACTTGGGTTCTTCTTTGGAAAAAAACTTTGTTTTCTTAGAATTAAATCATTTAAAGTGTTCATATCATGAATTACAGCATATATGTATATATAAAAGAAAGAACTGTGTGCACCATTCATTTAAGTCGTTATGAAGAAATATTTATACATCATTATACATTAGCAGGAATTAAGATTTTCTGTATGTAAGTTGTGTAAGTAGAAAAAGTAAAGTTCTCAAAAAATTGGAGGCACACGTATTGTAATTTTGAAATTTTTTTTTATTTCAATGCTTAATCTTCTATCAAAAAAAAAAAAAAATGGGGGGTAAAGGCTAAATAAAGTAATTTTCCTTATTTGTCTATTCAAGAGGAAGGAGTGCGGTTCAGAATGCTGAAGAAGGCCAAGTCGTTTCGAAATGACATAAAGGACAGGATCAGCGGCCATATTAAAAGAAGCCATTCCAATGCAACAGAAGTTCCCACTTCTCCCACAAAAACTGCCAAAGGTGCTAAAACCAAATCTGTTGCTCGGACGGGGAGTTTTAGTGAAGGAACCAAAACAGACAAGCAATGGAAACAAAGCGTAAGTCTGTTGATTTATTCATATGTAATGTACTGACTGTGTTTGTGACAATTAAGGGGGTTTTTATAATAAAAGAATGAATCAGAATGAAAAAGTGGTTCAGGTTTGTATGCTTTTCTTTATATAAATTTGCTTGATACAGATAGGAAAATATTGTCTAATGTCAGGTTTGGAACATTTATTTATTGATTGATTGATTAATTGACTGAAAAAAAACAGGAGTCAGAAGAGAAAATTTACATTATTTCAGGCATTTATTGTTAAATCATGTGCTAATGTGAAGATGATAGTAAACCTGAACTCTCTCTGTTGTCTGAAGATCCACTGCAAAGTAGAACTCTAAAAATGAACACCCTCATTTGACTTTTTTTTCTGTCATTTTCATTACTCATTTCAGTTAATGTACTTGATGTATTACCAGGCTTTTCAACCCATTTTTAACTCCCACTTTTCCCATGCATAATAATTGATGTAATGTTTCTGGTAAAACCTCATAACAGATGCACAGGTATGATCACATTCAGTTTAGCGTCCACTTTCCCCAAGAGATTTAAATACTCTTCTTTGTTAAAGTAAAACTAGATAAGGCATCAGAAATATATATAAAAAATTTATTCCAAATCAACAGCACATGCCTCAAAACCATGGAAAACGAATTTTTATTGAAAATTATATGAAAGGGCTACAAAAAGCTGTTATGATCAAAACAGAACCCACAAATCTGATTCATAGAAATTTGTGGCCAGAGAGTGACCATTAGTAAGTGTTGGGTGGACAGGTGGTGGGTCGCGACCTGCATTGACCATTAATAACAACAGGGGACTTGGTCCTGAGTGGGCACATGTTAATAAATAAGAAACTATAGTTTATAGCACAGGCCTCATTAATGCCGCCTTTCATCTTCAGCAGATGAATATCCATGGTTGAGACCCGTGTGTTGTTTTAGAGGCCCTTTTCTTGCTTGAGTAATTAGCCTTAATATTAATGCAATTTGGTGGCACAATTGAAGGGCATGTTACCCCCTACACAGCAGCATGGGTTAAAGAAAAAAGAGGCCTGTTTATCATGGTTTATGCTGAAATGCATCAAAATTAATCCAAGACTGGGTGGACTACACATAGAAAATTGCATGCCAGGCTTTAATTCGCCATATGTGCAGTGGAGGCTGCCATTAAAAGCTTTTCATTAACCAATTTGACATGAATTTTTTCAAAGGCAGGAAATTAGACGCTTGACCTCACAATGTGACCTTTCAAGGGGTGCACTCAAAGACCCCCCTCTCATGTCTGCAGACATGACATAAAAACCTATGATTTATGGGCATTTGAGACTACCTCCTCTCAAGGTTTTATAATTTGAGTTTTATCAAGACAACTTGCGTCCATGTGTTTTGTGGTTATGTAGGAAGACAGTTTGCAGACCATTTTGAAATCACACCCACCGAAAGACCCCCCCGGTCCCCCGTCTTCCATTTTTAACTCTATATCAGACATGTTAATTCACTATTATGGAATGTGAAGATGTGAGATATTAGATAGGGGACAGTTGGAGACCAGCACCTGTCAGTGACCCCTCTTTGAAACCCTCACTTCTTTACTGTTATCATAGTTCACATAGCTATGTAATGTGGTAATGTGAGGGGGTGGAAAGGTGACATTTTGATACCACCCCTCAGTGGACTATATAAACTGTCCTCCACAAGCTGTAGTTCAGTCTGTATTCTTTTAACGTGTGAGTAAGAGCCACAGTGCGGTATCTTTGAGACTGCCTGGGTGAGGTAACCAAACACACCTGTGTCAGCAATATATTCATAAGCATGGGGGAAGAAAGTAATGTGAGAAACCTTGAAGAAACAAAACTGGGATGATTTTCATGCCTCGTGCTTCCCGATTGAGAGGACTAGACTTACTAGCTATGACTGTAACACTACTGTCAGAAAATGCTTTTGGGATGTTGTTTAGTATGTATTAGGACCTAACATTCAAATACAGGTACACAGCAAGGATGACTAAGATTAGTCAAGAAAAAGTGAACAGTGTGTTTTGCTGAATTGGCTTACATCGTAAAGAGTACCATTGTCATATTCTGGATATGTTATGCCTTTTGAAACACTGAGGAATTTCTTCCTGGATCGAAAGTCATAAAAATCTTTCAAATATTTTTTTTAGAAAAAAAAATCAATGAATGAGACATTTTTGAATTTTGTTGTAAAACATCTCTCTTATTCCGGATCAGGAAAAATATTGTTCAATGATATTGTTGAGTGTTATATTACTCGTAGAATTGTGTGGCAGTGTTGATGAAATGTTTGCTATCTTTGGACATGGTTTGCTGCTTCACCTTAGCCAGATATATATGATCAGATCTGTATAAAAACCACATCCCTGAAGTATAAACCTATGACAATGCAACACGTGGGGACATTGTTATAACTGAAGGAAACAATATTCAGGATGCTACGCTTTCACTGATAAGAACTATTTACAAAAATGTTTAATGAAAATCACTTTGTTTGACTTTCTTGACTGTAAGGCAAGATTGACAAAACCTTAGGAATATTTTGGATAGATTAGCACAATTTGGTGGAGAGGATTATCATCAAGAGAGGAAAAATAATATAAAATGGATAATCTTGGTTTTAGAGATTATCATTATCAGGAGCTTTATAAGGTAAGTGTTCTCAGATATTTAAATTGTTTTACCCTGTTTAACAAGGTGAAGTACATGATGTTGAAATGGTGTTAACAGTTATATTCGCTCTGTCACCCTGATAAACAAGGTGATGTACATGAGGTTATGGTCATCACAGTTATTTAAATTGCCACTGTGGTTTGAAAGGTAAAGTGCATGACATAATGCTACAGTAGGATTTTCACCAGAGCAACGGGTTATGAAAAATGCCATTTACTTACCAGACAGTTAAATTGCTAGCCATGGTGATGGCTGTAAGTATGAATAACAGCTACTTTTTACACGGTAGTTACTCAGTAAGTTTGCACATGAATTGATTTCCCCTACCACCACCACCATCAAAATTTTTTTGATAAAAAATTAATATTTTAAAGTGCTGATTCCGAGTTTCTGAAAAAGAAATATTGGAAAAAGTGAGGCATTTGAAAATTTCAAGTAATAACCATAATATATACTTGGCAGTGGAACTTTAGGATTCTGCTTTATTTTGCATAGATTAGTTGCCATGCTTTGCCTACTGAAGTTTTTTAAGTGATTATTTTAATACACATGTACAGTAAACTTCACAGAATTCATCACTTCATAAACCCAAATTATCATTTCTCTCAAACTACTCTCATGGGTTTGTTTTTTTCCTTGGTATCAAAGTTACCAACATGGCACATTGAAGAACTTTACCTCTTGAAGTCTGTCATTTTTATTTCTGAATCAGTGTAGTGAACCTTGCTGGTGATGTTGAGATTGGCAGAAGTACAGCTCAAAGTATCAAAATGGTATTCTTTTAGTGAAAACCATGTTATAGTTTGGAACTCTTCAAAGTGACACAGGGAGCACTCAAGAAGCAGTAATGGGCCTTAAACAATGATCGTGTCACTGTAATTGTAATAGGAGGTATAACAAATGGCAGGATATGATTTGTTTTATGTCTCCAGAGGCGTATTAGCAGTGACATTTACAAATGATTACTGTTTTTCTATTGTACAAGGGCTTTGGTAGTGTTTAAACTTGACTCTTCCTTGTGAGAACAATTTATTTCTCGCAAAAATAAAAGTATTTCAGCCCAAATTCTCCTTGGAAATTATTAGATTTTCTGGAGATATATATATATAGTAAAACATTGCTCTGGAAAAAAATTTTAGTCATTCAGTCATATACCTTCCCTCCTGAGAAAGGGTTTATGTTGAAATAGGAAATGCTTTACCTTCTCCCCCCCCCCCTTCCTACACCCCCTCTCCAGTGTACCTTTCAAAACATGGAACCAGGACATCCTGTGCCCCTCTGATATTTACACCTGGTCATCCTGACATCCCCTCTCGTATCACTCTGCCATTCATTGTTACCTTAGGTTGACACTGTGATCAGCTTTTGTTAAAAAACAGTGTTTACTGAAATGATATTTGGCAGGGTGCATGATAAATGTGGGATTGTTGCCACAAGATAAATTAAAAACCTGGTTTAACCGAGCTCATTTAATCGATAGTATTGATGAGTTAAACTCTACTTGACTCATCCAT